GAGCTTGACTCGACTTTACTCTGTCCTGGCTCAGAGGAAAGGGACTTGGGAATAAAAATGTGAACAGAATGCATTATTGTCCCTGAATCAGGCAAATTGCATAAAATAATGATACAAACCACTCTTTAAATGTAACATTATCACATAGATACAGTTTGTTGAAATGCAGGTGCACTGCCTGGAGCTCTGGGCATGGAGAGTGCTGGGGAGGGCATCCACCTCCTCCGCATCCACCTCTGGTAGGATGGTCCACTTTCACCACCACTGGACCCTGGGAGTGGTCAGAGCTTGGCCCTTCTCCATGAATTCCTTCCATGGCAGCACCAAGGTGCACTGGGTTCCAGCATCCCTCCCTGGGCAGGGAAGGCTGGTGCTGTGCCTGCAGGGAGCAAGGGACCACCTGGGTGGGCCAGGCTTCAGTGGGGCTTCTGGGGAGAAAACGCAGGGCTAGGAGCTCACACTCATTAGGTCAGTGCAATAGAAAGCAGGAAACAGGGCTGGAGACACGGTCGCAGTGGAGTGTTTGTCCAGAATGTGCAAGGCCCTAGGTGTGACCCCAGCGTGAGCACTGAAAAAGGAAAACCATGAAAAATAAGAGCAGAAAATAGCAAGTGTGGGGAGCTTGTAAAGAAAGTGGAACCCCTGGCACTGTTGGAGAAGCTAGAACTACCTTATGATGTGGAATCCCACCTCCAGGTGCAGACCCACCAGAATAAACCAGGGCCTGGAAAGATTGCATGTGTATTTGTGCTCTTAGAGGCATTCCGCACACGGCTGAAATACAGAAGCAGCCCATGAGTTCCCTGACAGAGGAGTTAATAGTCAACTGTGGGGTGTGTGTGTGTGTGTGTGTGTGTGTGTAAAATGAAACATTATTACGGTTACACATGAAGAAATCTGCAACATGTTATGATGAGGATGATTGTTGCAGAAATGACACTGAGTCAAGTAAGTTGACAGAAAAGATGAGTATCAGAGGACGCACCTGGGTAAGTCACCTGGAGTGGGCAGGATGAGAGGGACGGAAAGCAGAAGGGTGTCACCAGCCACAGGGTAGAGCAAGCAGGAAGTTATTATTTAACAGAGCGACGGTGTACGATGAAATGTTTAGGAGATTATCACTGTTTTCAACACTATTGATGTATTTAATATCACCGACTCTGTGGTTAAAAACAGGATTGTAAATTAAAAAAATTTTTTTTAGTTGTAGATGGACACAATACCTTTATTTATTTATTTTATGGGGTACGGAGACTTGAACCCAGTGCCTCACACATGCTAGGCAAGCACTCTGCCACTGAGCTACAGCCCCAGCCCCCAGGGTAGTTGATTTTTTGTTAAGTGTATTTCACCCCATTAAAAAAAATGTCAGGGGGCTGGATTTATGACTCAGTGATAGAGTGCTCGCCTAGCATGCATGAGGCACTGGGTTTGATCTTCAGCACCACATAAAAATAAAATAAAGAGGAATAAATGAAGGTAAAATAAGATGTTTTAAAAAAATGTCAGGATTATAAATGCAGTGTGCAATTGCTTAAGTGGAAACAGAGACATTTTAACAACCTCAAGCTGGAGGGAAATGCTGAGTCAGAGCTGGTGCTCTTGAGGTCTCAGCTCAGGCTGTGGGGCTGGGAGATTGTGGATCCCTCAAACAGAGAGGAGGGTGGGACCCGGGAGAGATGAGGGCCTTGGCCAATAGGGCTCCTCGTAAACAGGAAGCTGTGCAGAGACCAGGAGCCCAAACTTTGTTTATGTGGTGCTGAAGATCAAACCCAGTGCCTCATGCATGCTAAGTGAGCACTCTACCACTGAGCCATAAATCCAGCCCCCTGACAATAGGGAGTAAGCTAAGGCTAGCAGCAGAGGAGAATGTGGGTTCTGTATTCCAGCCAGCCGATGGCTTCAGAGGAGGCTGGCCAGGGAGGCTAGAGGAGGAGTGGAGGATGGTCAGGGCTCCCCTGGGGGGGCGGGATCCTAAACTTTGCACCCTGAGTCGATCAGGGTTAGGGTCAGGAATGGAGAGGCTGAGCATCAGAACCTCGTTAACAACAAGGAGCATTGGCACAAAGATTGTTTACCCTGAAAGAGAGACTACGAGAAACAGGAATTCAAGTTAAATAATCAGATGCCCCGGGGAGGAGCTTCCTGCAGGGCTATTACCATCCACCCCTCCACTGGCCCACTCCTAAGGGAAGTTTGTTTTTAAGAACAATGTTATAGACCTCATTAGCCTCCCAGTGTCAGAAAACAAGCAATTTTAGGCCTGGCCCTGTGGTGTAAGCCATAATTACAGCGGCTTGGGAGGCTGAAATGGGAGGATTGGGAGTTCAAAGCGAGCCTTATCAATTTAGTGAGGCCCTAAGCAACTCAGCAAGAACTTGTCTCCAAATAAAATATTTTTAAAAAGCTGGGGATGTGGCTCAGTGGTTAAGCACCCCTGGGCTCAAGCCCTGTGCCAAAAAAAGAAAAAGAAAAGAAAGAAAACACTTTGAGCTTTGAGCTTAACAGCTCTAAAACAATAAGTGAGCTCCCCTATCTCACCCCAACCTCCTAAAAACCACCATGACCCCACCAGTAATGGTGACCTTTCCTTAGCCTGCCATCCGTATGGGGGGTGTCTGCGTTCAAATGACCCTAATTATCAACTTATCCATGCATGGGAGCCAATAGGTTGGTTTATTGCTTTTCAAGTTTTGTGAATTAGATATTCCAGCCTCTGCCAGAGCCATGGGGACAGAACAAGATGATAAGGAAGACACAGATGTCATGCTGGATGCATAATGGTCACCTTTGAATTCTCTCCTACCTTCTAAACTGCTCCCCCACCCCTGCTTGCTAGTATTTGCTGAGTGTCATATGTGCCACTCACTCTATGAAGTCCCAAGGACACGGCAGTGAAAACAGGAGCCCGCCCAGACCTGAGGCAGCTCATCTTCTGACTCATTATCCTTGCTCCACTTATTTTGTCATCTCTTTTTCTGTCTTTAATTAAATATATCCAGCTTATGCCAGGACCTCTCTTTGGCATGTGGTGCCTCTTAGCTCATGTGACCCTCTGCACAGCCTCGTAAGAGGGCCGCAGCCCTGACCTCCAGTGTGAGATGACATGCAGCAGGGAAAGTGACCCAGTTCGTCCCAGCCTCTTAGCAAGTGGCACAGCCTGCAACCTGGAACCAGGTCAGCTTCTCTAATTCCAGGACCACGGCCCTTTCCCTTTCTTCTCAAACCTCACATCTTCAGTGTCCTGCTCGCACCTGAAGTGCCGATCCATTTCACCTCTCCACCTCACCTTTGGGCAGGCAACCTCAGGGTCCTTTACACCCCACTGACTACCAAAGCCCAGGCCAGGATTTGTGCTCATAGGCATGAACCTTGGAGGACAAGCCAGGGCCTGAGTCATCTGGCCCAGCCACTCCCTGCAAACTTATCTTGCTGCCACTCCTCAGGCCCAGCATGAGCCTGGCCCAGCTGCCTTCCTCCACACCCGCTGTGTGCATTGGTGGGGGATCTACCTGCAACTTCACTCGCCCCCACACATCAGCAGACCTGGCAGGGTCTGCCTGGACCCTGCAGGCCACTGTAGAGTCCTCTGCTATATTCCTGCAGGATCGGTGGGTGATATTTCTCCCAGGTAATAACTTGTAATGACACATTGGCCTGACTCTGTGCTCATCTCTCCCAGTTGACCTCAAGGCTGCTTGAGAGATGAGGTCCTCGCTCTGTTCCTCATCCTCACGCCTCAGGCCCCAGGGTTCCGTGGCTACCAATAAACATAAACATGCACAGACAGACTGATTTGCCAGAAGCACGACCCACTGTCACCTTAAAACTCATCCATAGTGAAATTACATTTTGCTCAGATGACACTCCCACCAACCTGCCAGCCTTCTGGATGACATTAAAGACCTCACTGTACTCCTACAACTCTGCCTCCCCTTGGGGAAGCAGGTCCTTGGTTAATCCCCTACCTGCTCCCTTCTCAGTCTCCCCCCTCCCATAGATGCACTGATGGTGGTGGGAAATGTGCCTTCCAACTAATACCTTGGATTACCTCTTTCTCACTTCCAGAGTATGTGTTGCCCCAATTGTAACACATCAGTCCATACTGGCTGTCAGCAAATGGGTGCCACATTTTAAAAAATATTTATTTTTTATGTGATGCTGAGGGTGGAACCCAGTGCCTCCCACGTGCTAGGCATGTGCTCTACCATTGTACAACCTCAGTCCCAGTGCCATATTTTTTAAACCTTCAGAATTGTTGCTGGGCTGTAGACCTATCATCATTATGTGCATCTTTTCAGGTATCTCCTCTTCAGTGGTCTCATTTCTTTATCATTAGAGAATTCACAGAGATAGAAAAACTAAAGTTGGTGGAAAAAAGATTAAGAAAAATGAGCATACTATATAAAGAAAAAGATTTAAATGATGACTATGCTGTAGGAAGACCATGGAGTGGATCAGCAATAAGAAAAGGAAGGAGCTCAGTTATTCTTCAAATCTCCTGACCCTGGAAACATTAGTAGCTGCTCCACTGCGAAGGTGCACCGCCTGGACTCCAGGGAGAAAGACTCAGCTGGGCTCACCCTTAGGCAAGTATGTGCTACCGTGTTGAGTTCACCTGGAATATCGTGAAGACCACAGAACCGGGCTACAATCAGCTAATTCCCTTCATCGATGCACTTCAGGTTACTTTGTAAAATCTTGTTAAACTTTGGACTTTTAAACTTTTGAGATAAGTAGTCAAATCTCCATAATGTTTCCCTTTCAGATGACTTAAATGTTGCATTACATCAAAGCACTCAAATAAAAATATTCCGTGGAAGGAAGAGTGAGGAAGAGAGAAAGAAGAGCTCAGCTTCCAAGGAGATAAGGATTACTTGAATGTCAATTTTACTCCTGTGGTTGTGGGTGTCTGAGTTGTAAATCATCAGCAAAAGAGGTTAATTAAGACTCTTGAACCCCAGCCAGCGATAACCCATCCTGGCCAGGAGCCCTCCTCTTGGTGCCAGGCGACAGAGGAGATAACCGGCGCCGCGGGGCAGCGGCAGCCACGCGGCCAGGCGAGGCCAGCACCATGGCCTCCGGGGCGCCCGGGGAGCGGCTCCGGGAGGAGGCCCGGTGCTCCGTGTGCCTGGATTTCCTGCAGGACCCCATCAGCGTGGACTGCGGCCACAGCTTCTGCCTCCGGTGCATCTCGGAGTTCTGCGAGAAGTCGGAGAGCGCGCAGGGCGACGTGTACGCTTGTCCTCAGTGCCGCGGCCCCTTCAGGCCCGAGAACTTTCGGCCCAACCGGCAGCTGGCCAGCCTGGTGGACAGCGTGCGGCAGCTCGGGCTGGGCGCGGAGCCCGCGGGGGCGCGCCAGTGCGCGCGGCACGGCGAGGACCTGAGCCGCTTCTGCGAGGAGGACCAGGCACTCCTGTGCTGGCTCTGCGACACCACGCCCGAGCACCAGGGCCACCGCACGGTGCCGCTGCGGGAGGCCTCCAGGAGCTACCAGGTGAGCGCGGGAGCCCGGGGTGCCGAGCTGGGGCGCGGGCCGCTCGTGTAGGGCGGAGGCACCGGGGCACCGAGCTCCCGGCCCGCCGGGTCGTCCTGCCTCGGCTCCCGCTAGCCAGCGCGGGACCGGCTGCTTTCAAGCCGGTCTTTTTCTTCCTGATCCCGAGCCGGCGGGCTGTGCAGTGAGTCTCGGTGACAGCCCTGCACCTCTGTCGTACTCGCTTCCACTGACGGGATTCCTAGGGCGCAGCGTTTGCCTGGTGTCTGTCTAGGTCCCTTAACACGGGCACCAAGGCCACCCTCTGGCTCGGACCTTCGTAAGGGATAGCGTCTGCTCCGGCCTGGACTGTCTAGGTCCCCTGGAGTAGGGGGCCACTCGACTCCACACGAAAATCTGGGAGCCGAGGACTTGAGCATTCCCCTGAGGAGGTGCTTGACCCCAAGAGCGCTCCGAGGGACTCTGCCCAGGTGTCTTCCCACAGGTGCCCTCGGGTCCTGGGACATACTCTAAACACGTGCCTATCCCCAGCATCTGGAACAGCTACTAGCACAGAAGAGATCAAAGCTGTCTTTTTAATCTACTGGCACAGTTAGCCAAAGCACTCCGTCACACTTTAATAAGTTCCAAGTACCAGCTTTCTTAAAATGTTCATTTATTTATTCTATTTGTTTGTTTTAAGTTAAGGATGGGGTATTCACCAGCCAACATTCATCTGGACAATCTTGGAAATTTCTCTCGATTTTTCCTCTTGATTTCTGTTATCCTCTGCAAATTACAGGTACTAGGTGCTCTCTAGCCTACCTGAAAAGTCAAGTATGCTCCTGCCTGTCTAAATCCCCAAGGTACCATATAGAACATGGCTGCTGTGATATCGCTAAAGACGTTCTCTGTTTTCAGTAGTCAACTAGATAAAAAAATAAGTACCATCCAAACTCTTTGGCTTGTCAATCACGACTTTCTAGGTTCTGAAGTTCCCTTCCTTCTGCTCTTATCCAAGCCAAACATGGGACCCAGCAAAATTAGCCTAGTCACTCTTGTCCCCAAACATGCTCTTCTTTCACCACCTAGCTTTTGCTCAGTGTCTTTGGTCCCAGGGAGCTTTCCTCCATCTACAAGTGAGAATGGCTCTATTCCTTGCAAACACCAAACATATGCCTCTTTTTATTCTGATGCCACCATGAATTCTAATGTTACTTTATGTGTACTTTATATAGAGTATTATAAATTTTAAAGTGAATGATACATATGTAAGATTTATCGAATAAGTTTGGAAGTAGAATTTGTATTATTTTCTACTAAAAACATATTTCTATATGTGTATTTATGGGTGCTTCCTGTTTAAAAAAAAAGGCATGTATTTGCTTCTTGGAAGGGTCTTATCATTGAACAGAGATCTAATTTCTGGGTTTTTGTTTGTTTAATTGTTTGGTAGGCTTTTTATATACTTATTTTACTCCTTTTAAGATGTACAGAATATTGTGTTGTTCACCTACAGTATTTTATTTTATTTATTAATTTATTTATTGACACCAAGGATTGAACCCTGGGGCTTTACCACTGAGCCACATCCTCAGACTTTTTATTTTTTTTTATTTTGAGATAGGGTCTCACAAGTTGCTTAGGGCGGTGCTAAGTTGCTGAGGCTGACCTTGAACTTGAGATCCTTCTGCCTCACCCTCCAAGTTGCTGAGATTACGGGCATGTACCACCACACCTGACTTCATTTAACATATTTTAACCAACAAGATTTATTTTTGGTGAAATATCATGACTTTTAGTACTAATAACAAGCACTTGATTCCCATCATAATTAATAAGAAATTGTATCACTCTTCAACCTAGCACCAATAGATGACATTTCACCTAATAATGTCTTCATTTCCCTCAATCTATTTTTTACATATTCATTATAAGCATTTTTTTTCAAAATTGGCACTGTTATAAAATGTACTTATTTGACATTGTAATTCTATTTCTTGACATTGTTTCCTATCGTGTTAATGTAAAAGGTTTTGCCACTCATTTTTACATTTTAGTCATTGTAGTTTTGCTATCGTAATGGTGCAAGGAGCATGATTTTAGATGTATCTTTGCATCTGGTATTAACTGAGTTACCAGCAAAGGTGTGCACTGCATTCTAGGGAGTTTTCCAGTTGATCCTGCAGGTCCTCACAGTCTGCTCCACACAGGTGAAGCTGCAGATGGCGCTGGAGCTGGTGAAGAAGGAGATGGAGGAGGCCCTGATGCAGGAAGCCAACGTGGGGAGGAAGACTGTGCTGTGGAAGGTAGGGGGCCTTAGGCCTGGGGAGCTGCAGGCACCACCCTCTTCCTGAGTCTCCATTCTCCAGCGAGCTTGCCATTTACTTAGGTGCTCCAGAGAAACATCTCATGGCCATCCTGAATTGTCCCAGACCCCAAGTGATATTGTTCATTTTTGTTTTTACCTCTGTCGGCAGGACCCTATCCAGATTATAAATAGGTTTACTCTCTTGATCTTACTTGAAACTCACTGCTGGGGTGGGTGCCACCACCTGCTACTGTAGTGTCAAACTGTATTTGTCGGACAGTTAAACAGTGAATGCCACAGGCTTGGTGACAGATGTGGTGCAGTTCCCAGGGACCATCTATACAGGGAGGGACTGGAGCCTTCAGCCTCCTTGGGTCATCCATCCAGGGTCCCCTCTTTCTGCAGCCCCTCCCCCCTTGTTTTTCTCCTACATTTCATTTACACACAGTGGCTGTGAACCTTATCTTCTCCTATTGCTATGTCTATTATAGGTAAAGTTAAGCCCTCCTCTCCTTTCCACAGCTGGAGAGGCTTTGGGTCACCACGCTTGCTGCTGCCATTCATGGCAGAGGCTGGAAAGTTGCTTGGCTCCCTACAGTGCCCAGAACAGCAACTGCACCCCTCAACAGTGAATTGTAGGTCAAACCTGACAAAGTGTCAAGGCTGTGAACCACATATAGTGCATGGGTGGATGGGTATATTATGTACAGAGCACAGTATACAACATGGTCAGATATATTTTATAGAATATTCCTCTTCTTTCTCCTCCAAGTCACCCTGCTAGAATCATTCTTTATATTATTTTCTTCCTCAAAAATATAGTTTGGGTTGGGGATGTGGCTCAAGTGGTAGTGCGCTCACCTGGCATGCGTGGGGCACTGGGTTCGATCCTCAGCACTACATAAAAATAAAATAAAGCTATTGTGTCCACCGAAAACTAAAAAAAAAAAATAAAAATAAAAAAATTCTCTCTCTCTCTCTCTCTCTCTTTTAAAAAAAATAGTTTGATATACCATCTTCATACAGATATTTTCATAAGGACATTTATTTATTTATTTATTTATTATTTATTGTGCTGGGCATTTAACTCAAGGTGCTCTGTCATTGAGCTACATCCAAAGCCCTTTTTACTTTTTATTTTGAGACAGGTCCCACTAAGTTGTAGAGGGTGGCCTTAAACTTGTGATCCTCCAGCCTCCGTGAGTCACTGGAATTACAGTGCAATACTGTACCTGGCTCGTAAGGACCATTTTTGCTAACATTTTTCTTATGAAATAAGTCTTATGTTCTCCTATTGCTATGTCTATTGTAGGTAAAGTTAAGCACTGATTCACAATCTTTATTATTTAAAGCTAATAATATTTAATTTTTTAAAATATTGGCCTGACCACAGATTTATGAAATCAGGAACCCAAGTGCAAGATCTGAATTCCCACATTTTAAAACCTCCAATGCATGTCATAACATAGACGTGATGCTAAGATATCTCGTTCAGAGGCGAGTAGCCATGTCTGAACTTCTTGGTCGCTCATGTTCACATGAGCCAGAACCATCAGGCACAGGCTTGATGGAAATGAGCTCTAAGTTCTGCAGCAGCACTTCTTCTTTCTTCACATCCAGACGGGCCAAGCAACATTCCAGCCTCTGCCATGAAAGGCAGCAGCAAGTGTGGTGACCCAAAGCATCCCCAGCTGTGGAACTGGAGAGGAGGGCATTATGGCCCAGGTTCACAGCCACTGTGTGTAAATGAAATGTAGGAAAGAACCAAGAAATTATCAGGTTTAAAAACAAAATGGACAACCCAAGGTGGCACTCAAGAGGGTGGCGTGAAGGAAGCTGGGCTGCCGTAGCCCCTCCACCTCATCATCCCTGGTGCACCCCTGAACTCCCCTCCCTGTGACAGTGCTCAGCCCTCTCTCCAGCAGCCTGCCCTGGGAGACAGTGTGCATTTCTATGAGCCATGCCTCTTAGGAAGCAGAATGTGGAATGCAGAGTCAGTGTCCCTGAGGAGGAGGACAAGAGTGTATGAATTAGTGATTTAGAAAACTGTAAAGGAGGTAGGAATGCAAAATGGGAAGAAGGAAGTGGGAGACCTTGGTGCTGTGGCCAGTGGGGCCCTCAGCTCCTTGTCAGGAGGGGCAGGCTGTCACTCAACAGCACTCAGCCTCTGCAGTGGATGACGGCAGCAGGTGGCACCTCCCCCAGAGGGTCGATCCAAAGTCCAAAGTACCTCCAGACATTTGTGGAGAACTATTATTTGGATTACAAATATATATATGTCTTTTATAATAATTTTGATGATAATTTATGTCTTTCAATTAAACCAAGAAACTATCAGGTTTAAAAACAAAACGGACAACCCAAGATGCAGATGCTTTGGGAGGGTGACTTGCCGCTCATGCTCAGTTTAAAGCTGGGTTTCTAGCTACTAATTTCAAGAGAATAACATTTAGATGCGATATCCTGTGCACAGTGTGATCCTTAGGTTCAGTCAGACACCGATGTGTGAGGGCCAGGTGTGCTTCAGGGGCAGAGCTGCTTGCCCAGCCAGAGTGAAGCCAGGGGTTCTGTCCTCAGCACCAGGAAAGCAACAACAAGAGCCGTGATGGGAGATTTGGGTAGGGGCTGGTGTATTATCCTGGAGTGAATGGCCTGCTTGGAAGTTAGTTCTTCTGGACTCTGCAGGGGACACCGCCTTGTGCTGGTTTCTTGCTTCTCCTGGGACAAGAGAACATCTGTGTATTCTCCTGTCACATTGTCCCTCACAGCCCAGGCCTTCTGCTCTTCCTGGCCACCCATCCAGCTGCAGAGCCAGCCCTCTGCTGTGGGGCCACACAGGCTCTCGGAGGTGCCCAGATGATCCCCACGCTTCTCTTTCTGCTGCATTTGACTCGTGATATTGAAACCCGCATGTCGAAGGCCTTGCCTCCGGCCCTGCAGCACAAGGAGGCCCACAGCCACAGTCTTCCCAGACTCTGAGCTTGAAAACCCCACCGGCCACCTCTCCTGTTCCCGGCCTCTGGTTTCTGAGGTCCTCCCCAGAGGTGCAGAGTGAGGGGGGTTGGGTTCAGGGGTGGGGGTTGATGCGGGACATCCCTTCTCTGGCTGCCCGTCCCACACACCTTGCCCCAGCCTGATGGGGTCTCCTGTTGCTCCAGGAGAAGGTGGAGATGCAGCGGCAGCGCTTCAGGTTGGAGTTTGAGAAGCACCGCGGCTTTCTGGCTCTTGAAGAGCAGCTGCAGCTGCGGAGGCTGGAGGAGGAGGAGAGAGCCACCCTGCAGAGACTGCGGGACAGTAAGGACCAGCTGGCCCAGCACAGCAAGGCCCTCAAGGAGCTGGCAGAGGAGCTGGAGGAGAGGTGCCAGCGCCCAGCCCTGGGGCTGCTGGAGGTGAGGTGGCCTCAGGAGGCCAGGCCCACAGAGGCTGAGGGGATGGGGACAAGCCTTGGCATGGGACACGAAGGTACCCAGCTCTCTAGGACAGAGCTCAGCAGTACTTCCTTAGAAGGCATCTTACGACCGAATACTGGGCCCTGAGTCAGGAGGAACCCAGAGGACCATTTAGCTCATGCAAAAGACAAAAACTTCAATACGTGATGAGTTAAAATTAATTATTTATGGAATCATGAACAGCTGGGGCAAGGATAAGCTGCGCCATTCTGGCTGAGAAACCGTCTTTTGTCAAAGGTGATATTGCTGATTTTCATGAATGTTCAACCCCCAAAGCTTCTGGCAGCCCATTTCATGGAAAATAGCCAGAAGTATGAGCAGTGCTTCACCTAGTCCAGCTTGAAATTCCCGTGTTAAGTCCTAAGGGGAGTGTATAGTGGGAGTGTATGGACTCCCATGCAGATTTCTCAATCTTTTAGGACTTCAGAGCAGCCTTTTTAAAGTTTTAATTGGAGACAGGGTCTCACTCAGAGGCTCAGGCTGGCCTTGAACCGCTCCCTCCTGCCCCAGCCTCCCCAGGGTCTGGGGTCACAGACACGGCCATTCCGCCCCACAGGTGTTGTTCACAGGGTCGCCTGCAAGAGAAATTCATTCACCTGGTACTTTTCTCTGTACCTTGCCCCAGTGACAGATGAGGATTCTAACCTAAAAGAGAGTGCAGATCCCCACTGAGCAGCTGGCCCACAGTGTCCCAACTGACTCGCCTCTGGACACTGCAAGTTCCAGACACATAAACCTAGTTGCTGTCCTGGGACATTTGCAAACACAGTTGTCAATATTGTGGCATCTGATGGGGAATCACTAAGTAACTGCATGAAACTCTTTTATCTACCAAGCACTTTATTTAATCTGCCCATTCTATCTCCATTACCAATGTCATGGCTGTGCTCATTTCCTAATGAGTAAACAGAGAGCCAGAAAGAAATTAATTTTTCAAGTATAGGTGGCAAGTAAGCACAGGAACGTTGGCATTTCAAAAATAATATTCACTGCATTATCTCAGATAACATCTCATTTAAAATGAGTATTTCTTTGTACCATATAAATGTTAAAATGGTTTATAGTACAAATCATAGTAAGAATATAGTCTTACATAATTTTTGTCTGTGTCCTCTCTCTTTCTTCTCTGATACCAATGATCTTCATTTTACCCCACTGGCCAAGACCCAGGCCGATCATGTCCATAAAGGACAAGGCAAATGGTTTCCCTGCATTCATGCCTTATTGAAATTTGTCTGACTGTTGGCCACTTTTAGGGAAGAAGACAAGTGTGTTGGAGGTGACCTTTTTGTTACCTGATTTGAGATACACTGTTGTTGGATAGTAATGACTTCCTTTCTTATCTCCTTAGACAGTTAGTAGCTTTGTCTGTTGGTTCAGAGAATTCGAATTTGAAGATGACTTTTTCTGGAGTACTGGGACAGAACACAGGGCCCTGTTCAAGTCAGGGAAGCCCTCGACCATGAGCGATATGCCCAGTCCCAGGATCTATGCCGTACTTATATCTGTTCCTCGAGTAAATTCCGAAAACATGTAGGATTTTTACCCTAATTCCATCTGTATAAAATGCAGAATGTAACTGTTAAAATAGCCCAACAACCAGAGCTATCAGTTGACAATCCATAGTTCATGGATAGGTTTCATGGGAATTAATATAAACTTTGTGTAGTCTGACTCTGTTCTAATTATATTCCTGATTTTTAAATTTGAGAGTCATGTGAGAATTCAATTATAGCCTTTTTTGCCTTTAATTAACAGAGATTCACTGTCACCTGCAGTCTTATGTTGCTTGTTAATTATTTCCAGTACGTTCTAAAGACATTTTCGTGATGTGTCCCCAGTCAACTGTGGGAAGCACTTACACCTGCTTGTGTCTCTTACTTCCAGGGTGTGCAAGGAGCCCTGAGCCGGTAAGTGTACTTTCCGCTCCAGTGAGGGAGCGGGGGAGGCGGAGAGGGCTGGTGTGGCCATGCTGACATTTCCAGGTTCTCTGCTCTTCTCAGAAGTAAGGCTGTGATGCCGCTGGAACCAGAGACCATCCCCATGGAGCTGAAGACCCCATGTCGCATCCCTGGCATGCGGGAAATGTTGAGGAGATTCCAAGGTGGGTGGAGCCCTGGAGCCTGGGAACTGATGCTGAGAGTGTGGGGCTTACTGCTGCCCTTACTGCCCTGGCCTGTGGCCACAGCAGAGCAGCCACAGCAGAGCCTCAGGTCTCTGAGACTCACTGTGTGAGTGTGCTCTCATATGCGAGTGAACTCTCAGGGTGTCGTGGCCTCTCACCTGGGGCCCAGCCTGGCAGACCTCCAGCTCCTTCCCGGGTACAATGCGTCAGCCCTGCCCAGCAGAACATGTGGGTGTCTCCCTCTAGGAGTCGATCAGTTCTCCAGGGTTGCCCCGCTGGCTCCCACTCACTCTATTCTGACCCTGTCCACCTGCAGGCATCATCGAATCCCACAGGTTGAGGGCCTGGTCCTGCAAAGCTGTGCCCTGCTTCAGGAGCAAGGAACAAGCAGGCTGTGGCTTGTGCCTCTGACCAGCCAACTGCAAAGCAGCTTTCCCAGGACCCGCTCTATGAGCGCGGTTTGTTTGCTAGAGCAGCCCCCAGAACTCAGACCCTACTCACACTTGGTCAGTTATTGTACAGCGTGTTGCAGAGGATGGGGACCAACAGCCGGGTGGAGGAAACCAATAGGGTTGGTGTGGGGAGGGGCAACACGCCCTCTCTGGGTGCTCCTTGCAGGATCTCCTTGTGTGCCGCCACTGGCAAGCTCTGTCTTTGGGTTTATGGAGGCTTCATTCAGCAGGCATGACCAGTGACACCACTGGCCACTGCTGGCCCCTGGAGCTTCAGCCCCTACTCTCCTCCCAGAGGTAGGGGGATGTTGGACTGAAGGTTCTATCCCTTTAATCCCAAGGGGTTTCTCTGGAAACCAGACCCATCCTGAGGTCATCTAGGCCTCCAAGCACCAGCCATCTCACTAGCATGCAAAAGAGTCCCTTGTCTCAGGACTTTTGGGAACTGGTGTGTCAGGACCTAGGACATAGACCAAAAATATACTGCACTCTCTCACCATGACTCATGCACTGCCCTTGGCCTTCCTGAGGATTTCAGTGTCAGGCTGTGAAGGGGTGGAGCAGTGCACCTGCCTGCAGGAAGGGGGAGGGGACATTTGTGCACAATCCGAGCGGATGCCAGTCAGGGACACCCAGAGGGTCTGCACAAAATGGCTTTGTTCACCCAATCATGTTGTTCTTTAAAATGGTGACGATTCAATATTTTTACTATTTCCTTTTAAAATTTACTTTGCACCACATAATACAAACTGTGGCTTCCCAGGGACAGTCCTGTCCTGTAATGAGAAAACCTACCTCAGTTGTAGCACCCAGTGACCCCCCCCACCCCGTTTGGTGGACAGGTGAACATACACTAGCCATGTGACTTGATGAGGGCCTTCGCAGCACACCCCCAGACTCTGTCACCTCCTATGCTTTTCCTTTTTACCGAATGAAATAGTTAGTGAATGAATCCAGCCCATGCTGCCTGGTTTATGCTGCCCTTTCTACCAGTGGAGTGAATCATTGAAGAACAAAAGCAAATCAAATGTGCTATGACCCGTGATTCACGGTACAAATACTGACTTCAGTTACCCAGGCACATGGCTATGAGGAGAGGACAGGGACTTCTGGAGAGTGTGATTTGATGCATGTTAATAATTATAATAATAGAAAGAAAAATCTGCCTGACGGGGAGAGGAGCAGAGCGTCGGGCAGCAGGAAGTGCGGCAGGTGTGCTGGGACTGTGAGGACAGGATGGTGAGGGAGCCCAGGGGGAGGGCAAGGAGGACAAGGATGCAGCAGGGCTGGAGAGGTGGGCTGCTTCTGTGAGCAGCACTCAGTGGGAGAGCACAGGGTGTCCCTGGTCAGGACTGACTGGCCTTGTGTGCACATCATCCGGGTGCTTTATTGTGATGAATTAAAGGCACCAAGACAGCAGCTGGTGTCCTTTATCACTGTTCAGTGACAGATGAGTGTAGGTACCCCCAGTGTTGGTATGAAAGGTGCCAGATGGCCACATCCTTGGCCAGCCATGGAAGCGGAGCTGCTGGGATCTGCTCCTGGATGAGCTGTGTTTTGTGGTGAGAGGAGAGTGAAGAGGACCCATGGTCTTGGACCCCGAGAACTGCCACACAAAATGGCTGGTTGTGCTGATGGCCATGCTGCAGGCAAGGCCCACGAAGGGCAACTGGTTTGGGGCAGGTTGGCAGATACTTAGCATCCAAAACTGGCCAGGGAGGCAGATGAGTTCACAATAAGGACCTTCAGGGGAGAGGCCAGGCTGGCAACACGCACTGCAATCAGTAGCAGAGGACTGGAGTTGACTGGAGAGTTGAGTGAGCCAACCTAGGACCACAGGGCTTGAGCCGAGAAAGAAGTCCCCAACTTGGCACTGCAGCTTGTCCTGGGGCAGTGAAGGAGGAGAGGGGACACCAAGATGGAGGGAAGCATGGGCGCTGGTGAGTCTGGAAAAGAGCAGGAGTCTCTCCAGGACAGTCAGGTCCTCATGGTGTCTACCAACACAGGACCGTCCATTCACCACCCTGGTGGCTGCTGGGCATGTGGGCAGGACAGTTTGCTGTGCATAATGGCCCCATTACCCTTGACAGCCAAAGCTCTTTCACAGATTTCTTTGGCTAACAATGGAGCTGAGCATTGTGCATATTAAATGAGCCCTGCAGTTCCCCACCCCACCAGCCACATTCCAGGCTGGTATTTGCTTCCTGTGGAGTTGGGAAATCAGGTACAGTCTTTGAATCTCCTCATCAATATTGTGAGGTGGTAGTAACCACATTAAGGGTGGCTTCCTAACCTGGTTTGGTGGCACATTCCTGTAATCCCAGCAGCTGGGGAAGCTGAGGCAGGAGGATCATGAGTTCAAAGCCAGCTTCAACAATGGCAAGGTGCTAAGCAACTCAGTGAGACCCTGTCTCTAAATAAAATACAAAATAGGACTGGGGATGTGACTCAGCGGTTGAGTGCCCTGAGTTCAAGCCCTGATACAAAAAAAAAAAAGAAGAAGAAGAAGAAGGTGGCTTCCTGATTTAACATAGGTAATAAACACACAGAGCCTAGTGATGTGGCCAGTCAGGTTTAGGTATCCATAGAAGTTCATGATGTGTGGCTTGAAGATGAATTGGACTAGTACAAGTAGTAATTGTTTTTGCCATGACCTTAAGGTCTATTAATGAATTTACTACCTTTGAGTGCTTACAAGGAAGTACTCTGGTTTTGATGTAGATGCATTTGCCTACTATGTATGTGAGTCAATCCTGCATCAGTCTTGCTGGGACTCCACAGTACATGTTAGATGGTCCTCCTGTTGTGGAACCAATCACTACAAACAGCCACTTTAGACCACACCCACTAGTTAGCTCACAGGTCCAAAGATCAGACTTGCAGGTGGGAGTAGCTGACTCCCTTGCTTGGGTTAGGGTTTCTGAAGGCCAAAATCAAGGACTGAGTCTCTCTGAGGAGTCTGGGGAAGGACTTTCCAGCTGGAGTTCCCTGCAGCTGCAACGCCATGGTCCTTGTTTTCCTGCAAGCCATTATTTGGGGCCACTCTGCTCCAGAGCCTCTCACCTTCCTCTCATGTGACCCTCCCCACCTTCCACCCTGGCAAGGCTGTATCAGAGCCAAGTCTAAGACTCTCTTCTGGCACCATCCTGATAGCTAGAGGACTTTCTAGTTTTAAAGGGCTTGTGGGATTAGGTCAGACCCTCCCAGATAGCCTCTGTTGTCCTAGAATGTCACATAATCATGAAGGTAATAACACCAGGGCATGGAGGTCAGGGCATCTAGTGTACAATTCCCCCAACCACAGTTACACCACTTTGAAAGTAGTGAATTTCATATTAATGATATTATCTTATACAATCCCCAAGCAGTTTATAATTTCATGCTAAGCGCAGATGATCCTAAGTGCACCCAGGAGCTCTGGGTGCAGATGAAAAGGTGCCTTCCACTGGGCGTTTGGCTTCCCAGCAAGCTGACAGCAGCGCTGTTCTAATGGCCTGGTCATGCCAAGGCCTCCCTGGGCGCCCCAGCAGGTTGAAGACTTGCTCAGACCCTGGAGAAAGGCCTATTTCTTGGGCAGTCTGAGAGGGTGTTGCCAACGCTCACCCCCGGGGGCATCTAGTCCTTCCCGTGCATTCACGTGTCCCACCACTCTCTGCAGTGGACGTGAAGCTGGACCCTTCCACGGCGCACCCCAGCCTCCTGCTGACAGCCGACCTGCGCAGCGTGCAGGACGGGGAGCTGTGGAGGGACGTGCCCCGCAACCCCGAGCGATTCGACACCTGGCCCTGCATCCTGGGCTTGCAGAGCTTCTCATCAGGGAGACACTACTGGGAGGTGGTGGTGGGAGTGCGGGCCGAGTGGGGCCTGGGCGTCTGCCAGGACTCGGTGCAGAGGAAGGGGGAAGCCACGCCGTCCCCGGAGAACGGCGTCTGGGCCCTGTGGCTGCTGCGCGGCTGCGAGTACATGGTGCTGACCTCCCCGTCCGCGCCCCTGCTGCAGCTAGAGCGGCCGCGCCGCATCGGGGTCTTCCTGGACTACGAGGCGGGCGAGGTGTCCTTCTACAACGTCACGGACGGGTCCTACATCTACAGCTTCAGCCAGGTGTCATCGGGTGTCCTCCGGCCCTACTTCTTCGTCTGCGACGAGGCGCCGCTGATCTTGCCACCGATGGCAGAAGAGGAGGCAGAGAACTGGGCATCCGGGGGCCACCCTGACCCTCCTCTCGTGGACGACCTTCAGTCCTGAAGTGCTGTGCTCAGGGTCCTCCCGCAACCTATCCAAGGGCCCTGGAGAGCGGCGGAGGAGGGACATACAGCTTCACCAAGTGCCCAGCTCAGGGCAGCCTCTTGCTCGGGCCTGAGGAGGTTCCTTGAAATCCAAGCAGACAGGAGATGCTGTGTATGCGGGAACATTGGACCTGGAGGGTCTCCTCAAACTATTCCCGGATGGCCCCCCACTTACTCGATGGCTTTTCTTTCAAATTAATAGTCTCGTATTAAAGAGTTCTGTATGTTCGTTATAATTTCCATTCTTTTCAGTGTCTTCTCTCCCAACGCTGAATCTCCGGGCTGAGAGATGGAAACCCTGCAGGGGGCCCGAGCAGGCTGAGGCTCCCTCCCGAGCCCTCCCTCACCTTCCTGGCTGGCTCCTCCTCTGTCTCATTCCTTGCCCCCCCCCCCCTTTTTTTTCCTGGATACCTCTGGTTGTTTAAAGTTTCGTTTCCTTTTACATCAACATATTCAAAATCATCCTTCACAAGTGTGTCTTTATTCTGGGAACAGTTTTTGAGGGTCGTGAAATTCATTGCTCCGACCATAACATGGATTTCGATCTTCTCTCTTTATCTCTGCAAATGTTTGTAAAAGTAGGAATGCCCTAGATATTTGATCCAACTGGTTTTCTTCAGAGTCAGGAGGGACTAAGGAAGGTTTGCATCAGCTTGCCAAAGGGCTGCGCCCATTCATGGGGCCCAGAGGACAGCTGCAGCCTCCTGCCTGCTCTGGGGACTGGCCCCAGGACCACAGCAGGGGTCCTTCCCTCGGGGGTCTCCTGTGCCTGGAACAATTTACTGGCCCTCACAGTATTAGGGTAGGTATTTAAGGTCATGATTGATGTGACTAGTTTAAGTTAACTGTGTTATTTAAATAAAATGGTGACGTTGAAAATGAAATGATAAAAATAACTTACTTTTGAATTATATTCTGTACCTTTCCAACAAAATCCTTTAAAAGTCATTGAAGACCCCCTATTCTGCCACCTTTGTCTTCATTTTTATCTAATATGTAATTGCTAAACAAATATTGTAATATTCTAATGCTAAATGCTTAAATAATGAACAAATATAAATTATGAGCAAATTTAATTAATGTTATCTTGATAATCTATCTAAAGTGTATTCTTCCTTTTTAACTCCATCTCAAAGTTCAAGATGCTTTTTTCTTCCTGGAGATTTCTGCGACTGTCCTTCCCTGGCCTTGCAATCATGTGAATGACAACTTTCTTTTCAGATTCTTAATTGTCTGATGACAAGTAAATGCTTGCCCTCTCTGCCTCTCATTTGCAAACAGAAGAGGTAGAAAGATGTTGTAGAAACCAAGCTGTCTCTGATGTGCAAGCAGTGCAGGGGACAGCTCTGCAGTGCAGCCTTCCCCACCGGGATGACAAAGGCTCTCTGGGGTGAAACCTCCAGGGACCTTGCCATTCTCTGGGACAGGAAGCCTTCTCTGTGGGAAGTGGCAAGTCTACAAGCCTCTGCTCTCTCTGTAGGGTGAAGGGGAGCCTCAGGAACACCCCTGGAACCTGACAGCCTTGTCTCAATAGTGGCCTTGAGACTTGTCACCTCCTGGATTTTATTTTGATTTCTGTGGGCCACTAAATGTCAGTCCTTCTCAGCTCCAGTGTGCTAAGCTTCAGGGATCTCCACAGTTCCTATTGCGACCTCTTCTTCATTCCTTCCAATTCCCTAAGAGGTTCCCACCATTCCCCTGGGATTCTGGCTCATTTCCCGCCAGATCCTCTAAATCCGTATCTAATTCCTGACCTTCTTCATTCTTTCTCCTGAACCTTAGCTTTTCACAGTCAAGTGCCACCGGTCATCAAAATAGATATTCTAGGGGCTGGGGACATAGCTCGGTTGGTAGAATGCTTGCTTTGCATGCACAAGGCCCTGGGTTCAATCCCCAACACCAAAAAAAAAAAAAAAAAAAAAGACATTCTAAGTTCTATATGCCTAAATCTTAACCACAAATATCTCCAGGTCTCCCTGAATGATAAAAAGATATTTAAAGCCCTCCCCTTCTGAAGGGAGGCCTGCTCATTTCTCTGTCACGTAGACCAAACACCTCAGTGACTCCTTTCTGCATTTCACTCTAGCTCCCGTCCCTCAGCGGTAACACCCTGTTGGCTCCCATGGACCAGAGTCCAGTCAGCCCTTCCCCACCCCCATCCTGGTAGTCTGAGCTTCCCCTCCCTCAAGATCACTGGGTTCATCTCACAGTGGTCCCTTCACCTCTGAATGTAGCCCTCATTGCTCTAAGGTTTATTTAAAAAAATTTTTTTTTCCTCTCTTCTCCCCTCTCCCCCTCCCTAACAAGATTTGGAAGACAGTGTCATCTTTTCTTCCCCTAGTTAACTGCCCTTGAACACCTGCTACAGGAAGAGGGTGCCTGCTGAGAATCTGGGAAGTGAGGATCTCCAAAATGTGAATACTAATAGGCCATCAGGGCAACCTGAAGGCCCCCTCCTGGAATGTAACTCTTGAAAAAAAATTTTTTTTAATCTCCTTTGCTAGCAAAGCAATGAAGTTTTTCTTTCCTTTTCCTCAAAACCTTGGCCTCATTATCAAATTGCATTGGAGACAGGGACCGAGGTTTTGGTTACAAATCTTGGCACCCCAGATGGGACCTGAGAAGAAGCCCTGGCTCTGGGTTTCTTGGACAGTCCTGGCACCCCATGAACTGCACTTCCATGCTAAGGATGTAAGATGAACTTTTGGAGAGCTCCTGGAAAGTTAGGGGTGAGTGGGCCTCGGGTGGAACTGAACCAGAGGAGCTATTCCTGTAAGTAAAGGGAGGGACGGAGGGACTCCCAGCAGCTGCTGAAGCCCCTGAGCTCAGGGGGACTCCCACCTTCCTTCCCTGCACTGTAAGGATCCCTCCATCTTGGTCTACTTGGAGAAAAAGGAAACTGAATGCAGTAAAGTTTCGGCACCTTGGCCACCTGGTAAGCTGCCCAGTGCACACTGAGACCTTTGATTCTACACTTCTGGTCCCCTTTGTGGGAGCACCTGGTTCCCCACCCCTATGGGAACATCTGTGACACCACTGATGTAGGAGTCGCAGATAAGCGGGAATTGGGAACTTGGGGAGATTTTCCCACCATCTTGTCTGTTTTAAAGGTCCCCATCTGTCTGCCATGGTTTGGGGATCCTCTATGTTTCTCTGTCATTATGTTTCTTTGTTTGTACCTGTTTCTGGCCCTTTAAGACATGGGCAATAAGGAGTTGATCCTATAGATTGTTTCTTGGGAAAGATCTTGACTGAATGGGCTACCTATAGATGTAATTGTGACTAAGAAAAAATCATGTTTTACTGTGACAATCTGGTCTTTGGTTTTCTAAATTATTGTACAGTTGGGAGTTGGTCTGTCAGAGATAAAATAAGTGTTCTGTATATACAGACATGTAGGCCATTACATAATAAGGAGTCTTAACAGTCAAAACTAAGTTGGATGCAAAAGGTGCTGCCCTAATGTGTGAGCAGCAGAACACCAAAGGAGGACTGAAAAAAAGAAGTTGTTTTCCTTTCAACCCAGAACTGACAGTGTGAGCACCTTCTCAGCCTGGCCCCAGGCAACTTCAAATCATCCTGCTGTGGGTCAGGATCACCAGTTCTTGGATCAAAGAATAAACAAATAAATGAATAAAACTCAAGAAAGCTGCCTGGTCTGTAGAGAAATGGGAAACAGGATCTGCCCTCTACTCTGCTTTTTAGCCACTCTTTGCCCAGGGATAAAAGTTTGAGAACAGGGCTCAGTTTGCTGCCTCTGAAATCAAATGAAATGTGTGCGGGCTGTAGGTCTCACTGATTTTCTTTCTGTGTTCTTGTCTCATGGGTTCAAAGAATGAAATCCATGGATGATGGCAAAGGATAAAAATTTTTTTAATTATTTTTGAGTGAGGAAAAAGAAATGAAATTCCCCATCATGTGAGGAAGAAAGTGGCGGAAAGCTTTTTTCCACTTGAGTACACTAGTCTGGGAACTTAAGGCTGCTGGATAAAGACTCTGATCAGAGTCCATGCTGAACAGACATTAAAAGCGTTCGAACTAATTGTTGGAATCTATGCTGTAGGATGTTGGGAAGGGATAAAAGTTACTGGCTTGGCCGTGACTTTCTATTTGGCTGAATGCCTTTAGCCCTGAAGTCTGATTTTTTTTTTTGCAACCTCCTTTTGGGTCCACCCCCATTTCCATTTTCCTGCCACCCTGGGGACAAAGGAGTGGACTGGAATGCTGGACCTCACTGGGTTTACTTTACATTTGGAAAAATTAAACAAATAAATAAATAGCCTTATCTGGAGCCCATTACACTCATTGTCTGATGATTAACTAGCCTATCTTAATGGGGTGTAAAAAAATAAAAATAAAAGCTGCCAGTCACTAGGAAAGGGGCAGTGGGTTCCAGTACTCTTCAATAAAACAATAACCTGGGGAGAAAATAGTCTCCCCTTTCTAAGCTCTGACAGCATGTCCTATTTGGTCAGAGGATACTTGTGGGTGCAGCCCTACTTGTTGCCCAAAAAGCTAAAATACAAGGGCCTAAGCACTTATGTCTTGGCCCTGCTGATTTCTGCAGAGAGAGGTCCCTAACAGTCTTTGTATGGTCAATGTGACCTTCCTTGTACAGAATTCCCTAGATACATACACACATACAAATGTAGAGAGAATCTCTGGGTACAATTGACAGTGGGGAACTCACTTAAAGTTGATGGCATTATGATGATGATAAGGGAGACTGGTCAAACAAGGATAACCTGTGCTCCAACCTCTTGAGCACAAACTGGAAGGGAAAAAGATTAAGGCACAATTTTTTGTTTTTAAATATTCCAGACTGATCCCTCTCCTGGGATAAAATTTGTTATAAAAATTAAATGTACAAATAACATGCTCACGCAAAGAGTAACAACTTCATTTGCAAGTGCCTTCCTCTCTGCTGGAGGTCTCCTAGAAGAGAAGGAGGCCTTTCTGGCCAGAGGGACCCTGAGAAAGTGATCAATGTTTTCTCAACCACAATTTTATTTTAGGAGGAAATAACTTGCCCTTGAGGGGAAGGGATAACTCCTTAAGAGAGAGACATTAATGGGGATTCATCCTCTTCTGGACGGTTGTTGGAAATGTGACTTGAGTCAGCTTTTCCAGATCTCCTACTCTGCCTATGCTGCCTGTTAAAAAACTCCACACTAATGAGGAACAATTTGTGCAAGGCTTGAGCTCTAAAATATTAAAGTGCAATGCCCATTACTTTTTTTT